TGTCGTTTTATGTACAAAACACTTGGAATGGACATCGTTCAGTGTAAGGAATTTGTACAGCCTCATTAAATTTTTCAAAATTTTGCTGTTTTGGGTTAAAAAATTACGATTTTTGGTCAAAGAGCAGAATTTTACCTAGATAATGCCGAAAATTAGAACATTTTATGAAGAAAAAATTATCAAAACATGAACAAAACTGTGGACATGGTGTTAGTGAATAATATAAAGACACAAATAACTACAGACAAGTTTTTATTGACATTTATTATGAAGATCTCCCACTTGAGTAATAGTAGCCAGGGAAGCCATCGTCTCAGAGTAGCTTCTGTCTGGACAGCTATCGGTGAAAGGGTTAATGTAATAGATATATTAAACAATGTTTTACATAAGGATGGAACCGTTTTACTTTTAAATATGTATTATAGTGATATCTATTATGTACGGATTTCGACTCTCACCATGTTTTTTTCTTCTTTTACACGTGCTTTTCAAACTTCCGGTTTAAACATAGAAAAGGTTTTAAATTGTTTTTTTCGTGATTTAGACTTATTTTAACAATTGTGAAGTGTTCTAGAATCATTTACAAGCAATTTCAGCTTCTGTTTGATGATGGAAAACAGGTTTTTCCAAGAAAATACCGCAAACAACCACACACGATTTGAAATTACCGGAGTTTCATTAGACCTTTTATAACATTTACAAACATTTTTTTTGCCTGAAATTTGTGGGGAGAAGGGGGTGTGGACTATGTACCAGTGCGAACTATACAAGCCCGATTATGGTAATTTTAATCAAAATAAGTTTTCTTGACAATTATGGTAATTCAAATACACATCATATTGTAACTTATAACATCTCATTAACAAATTGCATGACATTGACTGGATAGGATCTAAAGAATATCACTTTACCGCTCTATTTTGTTGGGTATATCAAAGGTAGAAATACAACTTTAGAAGATAAATATATCAAGTCAGTACCATAAGGGTTTTGATTACTTTTTATGCAATCTTTACCCCAAAAACTAAACTACAAGTATACCAGTTGTCTGTCTGCTATTTTCCTGGCCCATGTGGTTTTCCCCCACTGTTCTTGGACTTTGTCATTTTCCCATTTTTTCTTCAGGAGACCAGTACGAAGGGATCTTGGCATTGTTATTTTGATACCAGTCAAATGCAAGTTTTTGAAATTCATCTGTTTCCTGGACACACCAGTGCATGGTCCATCAATCAAGGCCTGTAATCATAATTCAAAAATGTATGGTATTATTTTGGTTTTCAAGCTTCATATACAGGTTATGCTTTTCTTATGAGATTCAATTTACTCCACTCTAAAATGTTAACAATGGTAAACTGGTTTCTATATAAACATTGATAAAATAAAAACTTCACTTTGAACTTAATAAATTGCTTTGCCAATGCAAGCGCAGCTGGATATGACCGCAGAGGTCCAACCCTGAACAGTTGGGGCAAAAATGGACACAATATTCGCGCTTGATACAGGTCTTAATTTGGATTGTAATTAATATTTGACACATAATAGGTTTCTGACACAGAATAACTGTAGTCAAAGAACTAACAATTGGTTATATGATTTGAATTTATATTCAATTTTTTGCTTTTGTGCAATACACTTTGCTGTTGCGTATTGACACCCCCCTCCCCCTTTTTTATTTTGCAAAAAAAATATTTTTAGAATTTTTCTTTTTAATTTCTGAAATCTGAAATGAGAAAAAATTGACCCCCCACAATTTCTTTTAAACCCCCCCCCCTCAAAAAAAAATTCTTTCCCTCAAGATATGGTCATAATCTCAATTCAAATTTCATTGGAGTTTGCAACAATAATTACCCATTTAAATAGATCAAAAAAAGTCTAAAAATAGAAAATGACATACATAATCATGGCTAAAATCAATATTCCTTACTAGTAACTTCTAAAAATAAATTGACAGTTAATCATTTCAAGACAATACAACATTTCTTTATACATAATTTAAAAGTAGTGTAAGGGAGGTAATCAAAACGTGTTTGGGATTACCTCCCTTACACTGCTTTTAAATTGTCTTAAGTAATTGTCCATTATCCAGGAAACCCTTGTTTTCCCCCCTTTTTTGCCCCTGATTCCTACACGGTTTGAGCCCTAACCCCCAAAGCAAATCCTAACCATCCCTTTCTAGTATGGAAACTTGTGGTATAATTTCAGAGAGATCCATACACCGTTCCACAAGTTATTTCTGGAAACTAGAAAAATGCTTATCTGGGCCCATTTTTGGTCCCTTATTCCTAAACTGTTAGGACCATAACCCCCAATATCAATCCCAACAGTCCTTTTGTAGTTATAAACCTTGTGTATAAATTTCATAGATTTCTATTTAATTATACTTAAGTAATTGTCCGGAAACCAACTGTCTTCGGACCATGCTGACGACGACAAAGTGATACCAATATACGACGGCAAATTTTTTTGGATAAAAATTAGGGAATTCTGCAAACTGATTTTACATATTTTAATCAGAATGGGTTCTTTGCACCAGACACCAAGAAGAGCTTGACATTATTTACTCTGTTGATCTCTTGATGTCTTTCCGGTATATTGGGTTATTGGGTTGTTGTCTCACTAATATATATACTCCATATCTTTCAAAGATGTACATGTACAACATGTTTGAAACTGATTGATTGACAATAATCTCACCCTGTTCTGATCAATAACATCAACTATAGCACATAGTTTTCCTTGGTCTGGTCCATAGGCAATATAGGCCACACGGCCTATTTCAACAAATCTTAACTGAAAAATACAATGATTAATGTGAAAATTGAACAAAATCATGAATGAAAAGTCCTGATCATTTCATTTAAAACTATAAATGAGCTGTTCAATAGACTGCAAACCAGGTTTCTACATTTATGAAAGAAAGGTGAAGGTAACCATTGTTGAACTTAAAGAGGACAGGTGTAGTTTGGAATGAAATTGATGTATGCTAAAGAGCTACATCTTAAGCAAATAGGGATTATATTTGGATAATTATAGGTGCACATGTAAATATTGATTAAGAACAGTCAGATTTGTGGTTGTGGCATGATAGATTTGTACCGATTTAATAGAATATATCTTATGGAAGCAAAATATACCACAAAATATTAAAAAAAAAGATGATTTCAGAATGGACAATGTAAAGATAAATTTGACAATTTTAAGCCAAAAAGTTATATCTATTTATAATCAAAAAGAGGGGGGTCATACACTCTCTACACCCCTGAATCTGCCACTGATTTGGTATGATACAATACATTACTGATGAGACACAAATCAATCGTAGTAAAGTGCATATGATAAATTATATCATTCATTCAGTACATTAAATCTAGGCCTACTTCGATTCGTCCAACTCGGGTTAGTTGTCTGTCAAACAGTTGATTGACCCCCCCTCCCCCCCCCCCTCCTTGGTTTAACCTTTTTTACCTACCCAAGTTAACTGGACATCAACACTGGGTTGGGGCAGGTTTAGCAGAGTTTCAAAATGGCGTCAAGCAGCTCCAGCAAAGAAAAGTATGATACAAAATAACTGACATTTGACAAAATACAGCCAAGAAAGGGGCTGAGAAGGGGAATTTATTTTTTCTTGTATTTTGGCATCAACAAACATTGTTCATGTGTATATTAACTGTTGGTGATGTTTATAAATAGAACAGAAATTTAATTTCGGCATGCTGAGAGTTGCACATTTTTTTTATTACAAAAATACATTCATTTTACCATATTAATGTCACTTGTGCATGTTGTGTAGGATTTCTGGGTGTACATGAACACGAGTGTTTGATACATCAATGCATCACACTGAAGGGGATACAGTAATTTTCTCCATCTGACTGTCTGCCATTGCTTGATAACCCATTAATACACCTTGATCGTTTATCAGAAAGCTTTAAGGGAACCAACCAATCATCTTTTGTTGGAAGGGGGCATGTCTTTTTTTTCTCAGAATGAATTTTTTATTTTTTTTTCACAAATTTTTTCAGAAACAAACTATTTTTTCCAATAGCATACAGGATCAGGACTTTTTCTTTCTGAAACATAATGTATTTTTTTTTATTCTCATGTTCAGTAGAAATTTTTTTTTTTCAATTCCCTTATGAAACAAATATCTTCCATGTTGATAGTCAACTCAATGGAAGAGTTTTGACTTCATTTCGCAAAGGTTGCGCACATGGGCATTAGCACTGATCTTTTAACTCTAGTCAACCTGAGATTTCTCTTAAAATACATTTTCTAAAACATGAAATGCATTGAAATTTTTTTTATCTAGGGCATGCCATGCCTTAAAACTTTTCCAGGTATCAAACACTGGTTTGTCTACTCAAAAGTGTCAATTTTGAGGTGGAAATGCTGCCATTTTATCCAAAAGCTCCACATGAACCTTAACTTCTTTGAATAGATCAATCGGACGAGAGGACCACTTTCTTTTAAGAGGTGAGAGTTAATTTTCAAAATAAGGACGAGTAGGTGAGAGTTATTTTTTAAAATAAGGACGAGTTGATGAGGGACGAGTTGGCAATGCGGCGAGTCCATTGGGATACTTCAAATCCTCTCCAATGAGAACTTTCCGTCCATTTTCCTAGAGGGTAAGTGTTAATATCCCACAAACAAACTACTTTTCTATAAAATACTAGTTCCATATCCTTTTTATTTATTTACAAACATAATTTTGAGGCAAACCACGTGTTTAAAACTGGACGAAAATACTTTTATTTTACAATAGTTTCCTAATTTTGTAACGTTGAACTTTAAATTGAAAGGCTACTTCTCTTATATGGAATTATTTGTAAGCGATTTAATACTATTTTATTTGAAATAACATGTTGAAAAAGGGATTTTATTAGCAGAGAATAAGCACCTGGGCGACAACCATGATTCGTCGTGAAAAAGAGGCTCTGTGGAGGAAGTTAAATCTGACTTCCGTCTAAACTGGTTTCCTTTTGAACTATTTGGTACCAGTATCTTATTTATCACAAATCAGCTGGCCTTGGCACGAAAAAATGTTTTGTAAGAGAGTTTGGAATAGTTCTTTCCGTAGTTTGATGCGTGCATATCATAAGTCAGTAGACAGGAAAGGACTTGCACAGGTAATTGATGATTGACAAATTTACCAGATTGCTTAAAGTCGCCTGTATCCTGTATGTATGTACGTAGATCTCTCCGTTAATGGCGTTATTCGGAGCACACCTCGAGAGCTGCGAGGGTACAGTGGAATCCGTGTACACTCCCTATCGGGATTAATGGAGATGTGTCACTAACGTATTTTCAACAATATTTACAAAGACAATCCCCACCACAACACAAAGGGAGTGCTAGGACAACGGGAAAAGTAACTTTAACTGTTCACTATAATTTCCCCCTCTCTAAGGAGCACTCCCAAGAGAGTAGGAAGCAGTTCAGTTCAGTTACTTGTATATTCCTCCATTAATTGTGGATAATAAACACTAAATAATTAATATTATAATATTGCTTCTCCTGCAACCGCTTCCATAACCATGATTATTAAACACCAGCTCTGACAGTTACTGAAACAATGACAGATTTAAATTGGTACCCACTTGAAATTAGGCGTTTACGATACAGACTTGTCTTCTTCTACAAAATTATACACGAAATTGTTGCAGTCCCTACATATAACCTTTTGATCCCACTAGACCATACTTGCCAACCTCTGACAATGAGAAATCATGTCATGACATGACATGTCAAAAAGCGTGTAAAAACGTGTGACGTCGATGCGGACTAGTTAAAATGAACAAATTGTGACTTGGATGGAGAGTTGTCTCATTGGCACTCATACCACACCTTCTTTTATCTTTAATACAATTTTTTTAATGTAAAAAGAAACAACATTCTTAGCTGTAAACTTTTTTTATATTCAATGGTGGCCTGTTTTGCTGCTTTCAGCACATCACAACTGGGCTGATACTCATAGCAACTGTCAGTTTCATTAAATTTGCATGACAACAGTGCACATAATGTGTCATTGTTCAGCTCAGATCTAAATTCTGTATATATCTTTTTGATTATCGAAAAGGCTCTTTCACAATCAGCATTACTGTTTGGTAAAACTAAAAATGCTTTAGCAAGCTTTGAGAGTGTGTTAAAATGTTTTTTATCATTGAAGATGTCATCAACTTCTGCCATTTCTCCCCAGAATGATGATATGTCCTGGTCAAAGGTGAGAAGATCATCAGGAGATAACAGCTGGTACTCTGTAAACTGGTCTAGAAGTTCTGCTGTATTTTCACACCCTATGGCCTCCGGAAACCTGTTAGCCAGCTTTGTAACTGAAAAAGAAAGAAAAAATTTGAATACCATTGAATACTCTATCAAATAGCTAGTTGTCCTCTCACACATGTAGTTATGATTGCAAATGATAGATAATGTTTAAGATGCATAATTCTTTGTAAATAATTTACAGAAAAAACTCACCAGAGTCAGATACTATCTTGGTTTTCATCCTAGGGTTTATAAAAGCAATGTCCTGCAAGGTGGTGTCTGAGAAGGGAAACTTATCAACCATCTTGGATACTATCTTTATATAAAAGTTTCTGGCTGTTCTGAAAAATATAAAGATAAATTTGTGTTATTGATCATGTCCATTTAAAATTTTACAATTTGCATATTTAAATATACCTTCATATTAAAAGTACAAGTATTACCAACCTCAACAACAACTGAAAACAAGAAGTAATACCAACCTGTACAATTTCTTTTCTGTTTCAACACCAATTTCATCTTGGTGGTCTGCAATGTAACCTCTGCATGGCAGTCCCACAACAAGTTTATCATCTGGAAGGAAATTGTCACCAACATCATATGGAACTTGTGTTACATCTGTGTGTGCAACAATGACCGATGTCTTCACAATTCTTTTCAAGAAGATTCTCAGCAACCTTTTGACCTGATCATGGAGTAACCCAATCTTTGATGCATCAGCCTGAAATAAATATAGATACATTAATAAATATATAACAAACCTGATAGAAATGACATAATTGCTAGCTGATATACAGAATTGACATAATTGCTATTAATTAGTGTCCATAATTTTATTTTTTACCTGAAATGCTGTGTTTTAGTGACTAGACAATAGAACTAGACATAGCAATCCACACTCATTTAGGCAAATACAAACATCTAAAGACAGTTATAAATATTCATTTTATCCACGAACAGTTATAAATTGGAATCATCTGCCACAACAAATAGTATCATGCAGTACAGTAGACGGATTCAAGAGTATGATCTCAGAATCTGCTCTCATCCCCATTTTCTATCCTTAACTATTTTGTTATCAAATGTATATAGTTTTATCTAAATGAAATTATTCAAATGTACATACATTATTTTGATTTTTTGATTTTGTTTCTTTTTATTTTTCTTGCTACAATGTAAATTATAAAATTTTAAAGTCGACGCCCGGCGAATAATCTTCAATAATTGAAGGATCGCTAGAAACTTAAAGAAGAAGAAGAGATAATTAATTCATAGGATTGTCATCATAAAATTTTAAAAATAATATTCATAATGTGCTGAGGTGTAAGAACAAGTTAAGTTAGAACTGGATATATTTACAAATAAGAATTTAGAATTTAAGTGGTCTTGAATTAAACTTTCTTATAATAGTTAGTTAAAGGTGCTATATGTACATCAGAATTTATAATGAGAAGGTTATTTTATAAGACTTATGTAAAAGGGTTGGGGTTTAGAACAATTCAACATATATACATGTTTTCCTTCACAGTTTAAAATTACCTTATTTCGGATCTTATTATTATTCTTTAAAGGTACTTGATATCTTAAAACTTTGCAAAAAATTTAATTTAGGTCCTAATAAGTCATAAAATAGTAAGATGGTAAAGTAGGGAACTATTTTATTTTAAAAAAGTTGACTTATACTTATATTGTACTTGTGTTCAAGTTTTTTATCCTTTTTGTGCGCAGCATGTGCATCTCATAGCACATATTTCTAGCCAGAGTTTCAATTCAACAGTTTATGTTCTTGCTAGTACAATTATGAGCTGCAGTAAATTCCCTTGTTGTATGATCTTCTTGTATGTTGAGGTATCAATTTCATCTATTGTCTGTTCGATTTTTGAGCAATATTTAGATCTTATTTGCTCCAATTCTTTGCAGCGTAGAATAAAATGTTCTAGATCTTCATTTTCCTGTTCACAGATTGTACATATCGGGTTAACTTTCGGATCGAACTTAGCTCTTTTGGCTTGTAATATGTACGTTTGAGTACTTATTCTTGCTTTTATTTCTCCTGCCTTTACATCTTTACTATTGTTTTTTACGCTTTTCCATATATTGTGTGCTTCGTTTTATGGAAGCTCTTTATCTTCAAGCATCAAATTTCAGTTTTTAAATACAGTTCACGTCAAATGAACCTTAATTTTTATCATCATTCATCAAATCTCATTTTGTAGCTACCGTTAGCGTCAAATTGAGTAAAACATTTATCCGAAACGTTATTTTAACAAATATTTTACCGTCATTCTTCATGTGGGGTACACCATACCTTCCCTCTCCCAAAGGATGTATAAATTTAAAGATCTAAAAATATATAAAACTTAATTTTAACTGTACAGCGTCCCCACCACTCATGGTTCGATGAACCAAGGACTACAAATGGTTAAAGTTGAATTATACTTTCCCTTCAAAAGTTATACTGAGTGACGGGTAGCTGAATTTTTTCAAGTTATCCAAATTGATGTGAAGGTAATTATGATTTGGTAAACTGTTACATCATCTGTATGTTACACAGTGCAGGATGTGTCATCACAGATATTTGTGTACTGGAAGGAGAGCTAGTTGGTTAGTCCAACTGTTGGAGGGCAGCCTTGAAACCCTCAACTGTCTTTGAGCATGGGATGTTCTCTTCCAGATGGTTTCACTGTACTATTGTTTTTCGAAAAAAAGAGTTCTATGTCATGCATCACTGCAGGTATGCTCCACTTGTTGTGGCCATAAAAAGCTTTCCTTTTACCACAAGCAAGTCAACATGTTTTGGCGATTTCAATCTAAAAAGATGCTAAAATTGAAAATTCAGGTTAAGTCTTAACTGTATGCATGTTGAATGTCCCAAAGAAGGCTGGAATAACTTATTGTAGCAATTTTTAGAGCTGTAATCTTACATGTACATGAGAAGAATCTTTCATCAAAAAAGTTGATTTAATCTAATCAAGTAATCATGCTAATAACAAATGTGACCCTTCTTTTTTGGAATTGGTATATATCAAAAATTTGAATTGCAGTTGTTTTTCAGTTATAGGATTGAATAAATTCACAAATTCTTGGTCCCATTGCCTTCTGTGTAAAATTCTGCAATTTCAAGTATTCAAAGATATTTTGTCTTAAAGTCATATGAAACGAGTTTCTTGTAATTTTAATGTTATAGAATTTATTGAACCAATGCATGCATGTATACTAAACTAAGTCCTCTATTAAATATTATCAACAAATAATAATTCATTCAGTGATTGCTGATCGCAAGCTTCTTAACTTTCAAGTTTTTTGCCGAAGTTTAAAGGATTGTGACATTGATAAACAATCAACACAGAGCATGTGACAAATAAGTGAATTGATTGAGCCATGATATTTTTTTTTATATATTTTCCAAGTGTTTCCATTTGTTGATTAATTTTTTCCTTAACAGTTGTTACATGATTTATTGTATTAAATTTGTACTTTAAAAATCAGTTATTACCAGGGTATATACTGACCTTTCAGTGCATGTTTGTATAATTCTTTCATCACAGTTTTCCCCTCGCACTTGTGCTGTGGGGTGGCAGAAGTTCTTATGAGAAGTCTTTTAGTTAAGGTCATGGAAAATAGGGGCGAATTAGTGTATGGGGAAGACAATATTTCAATAGCAGTACATTAATGAAGATTTTGATCATATGAAGGATTAAATGTTACAAGAAAGTTCACGTACACTTGTTTTATAGTAAAACTTGGCCATTCAATTCTATAAAACATGTTCAACTTTTTTTTTTAAATTTGAAGTTTCATGTGATTTTAAGTTTAAATAAGGTGACAGTCATTTCATGTAAAAACAATACATTATCCTGACCTGTGCCGAAGAATTTAACATATATCTTTAATTTTATATACCTTTTTTTATTGCATATAAGAGTTCTCAGAAGTTCGAAAGTACAAAAATAGAACTTCTGATCTGAGAAACAGGCATTTTGTAAGATATGCCCTCCTATTTCAATTTTGTGTATTTTGGTTAGTATTCAAAATAAACTTATAAGAAGGTTTCAATAATGATTCCTTTTCATTTGATACCTAAATTACCCAAATATTGAACTTTTTTACAAATTTACATCTATGTGTAGGAATTTGTTGTACTGCTTTCTTATATTATGGTCTAGAGGCCTCGGTAGCCAAGTGGTCTAAGTAGTTCATTGCATCACTAGTCTGTCAACACTGAGGTTGTGAGTTTGAACCTGCATAAACAGGTGCGTTTGACTCAAATCTTAATTGAGCTAGGATTGCCAGTTTTCCTTCAAAGGTTAGTGGTTCTCTCTGGGCACTCCTTCACCAGTAAAAACTGACAGCCACTAAATATCCAATGATGCTGAAAGTGATGATTAACATAAAAAATCAATCAATGAATAAGTCTTATGTGTTTTGTCTTTCAGGGCCAATTAATTATTCTATACAGTACATGTAAGAAGATTTCTGAATAGTCCAACAACATACAGAAATATTAGTGCTTTCAAAGTCCACAAAAAAGTTTTTCTTGATCGAACAGTCCTCAGTGGATCTGTGAAAGGATAAATCTAGCCAAATACTTTTAAAAATATATATTTTCAGGCTGCAGAGATAGTAAAAGTTCCAGACAGGCTAGTAGCAGCCTTATCCGATATTGTTGGCAAGAAAAATGTGTCAACTGCAATGGTAGTTAGAGAGCAGCATGGTAGAGATGAATCATACCATAGGTAATATTACAGTCATATCAAATTTTTATTGCTTACATATTATGTCTGCATCATTGAATTGACATTAAGGTAAAACTAAGAAATGAGACATTCTCCTATACTCAATACAAATGTTTTTAAAGGTATTATTTTTAATTAAAGGTAGTTATTGGTCTTATCTGGGTCTGTATTACATTCCTCACCTCTGCATAAAATTCCATATTGGCTTTGTGACACCATACAATGTATGTATTTGACCTGGCCTTCATAACTGACACTGATTTATCACTGTCAAATGCCATAATGTATGACCTGATGTAGGTAAGTTTGTCCCCACCTTATCAAGTCTTTCTTTGGTTATAAAATGAGAAGGTGTGGTATGATTGCCAATGAGAAAACTCTTGCCCAGAGACCAAATGAACTAGAAGTTAACATCTTGCTTCTAAAAAAAAAATATAATGTTTCCCTCAGAAAACCATATAAATGCTATGTGGTAAATTAGTTATAGCATTTTCCATGCAAATACATTGTAATTGCAAAATATCAGCTGCTTGACACAATATAAAGCTTTTGAGCTTTTTTTTTTATACTCAACTTTCCAATAAAGCCTAATATCATAACACACGGCTGATATTTTAATTTTTTATGAGTCCAGGAAAGTTATTTCAGCTTATCATATTTTTTAACATGTTCTCATTCTTGCTCTTTTTTTTTTTTCAGTTGTTGTCCACCAGAAGTAGTAACTTTCCCACAGAATGTTGAACAAGTCAGCGAGATTGCAGTTCTATGTAATGATAATGAGATACCATTGATTCCATTTGGTAGTGGTACAGGATTAGAAGGTGGCATTAATGCTGTGAAGGTATAAATTATCTCCCTTGTTTTAAGTTAGAAAGCTATACTGTGTAATGATAATGAGGTACAGGATTAGAAGGTGGCATTAATGCTGTTACGTATCAATTATCTCCCTTGTTCTAAGTTAAAAAGCTATACTGTGTAATGATAATGAGGTACAGGATTAGAAGGTGGCATTAATGCTGTTACGTATCAATTATCTCCCTTGTTGTATGTTATAATGCTATAGTAATGATAATGAGATACCACTGAGGTACAGGATTAGAAGGTGGCATTAATGCTGTTAAGGTATAAATTATCTCCCTTGTTCTGTGTTAGAAAGCTATACTGTGTAATGATAATGAGATACCACAGATTTTATTTGGTATAAAATTAGAAGGTGGCATTAATGCTGTATTAATTATGTCACTAGTTTAAAGTCAAGTTATTGTGAATACAAGATACAATTAATGATGGCATAATTATTGGTGTTAGTAACGTAATCTCCCTTAGTTGGAACTGATAGTCAGTGGACTAAAATGAGATATGTCTAATTCCATTTCAATTACATATATTTTATTTGCTCTTACGATAACAAATAGGATTAGACAGAAGATTTCACGACTTGGATAGTCCTCTCCTGAATATGATGTATTTATAATCTTTAGATACAATGCACAATTCCATAATTTAGAAAGCTATACTGTGTGTATATATAACTGCCATTGATATGTCAAACACCTTCACTCTCAACCATGACTGTATGATAAGATACCACAATGTTATTTCAAAAGGAATTCCTCTCTAATTTCCCGTTTATACTTTTACTTTGACAATAAATGATTTATATATAAATATATTGAAATACATGTAAGTTAAATTCATTAGATCACATAATCAATGCAATTAAAATGTATACTAACATCATATAATAGTATTTTGGATGATTTTATCAGCTGACATGATTGTTTTAATCACATGTAGATAGATAAATAATGAACTTAATTAGAAATGTGTACATTATACAGAAAAAAAATATTTGAAATATTAAAAAATCTTCATCTGAAAAAATTTGTACATTTAAAGTTTTTGTGAGTCAGAAAATGAAAAAACCATGTTCATATATCTGTATTTGATAAAATTTTGTATTTTAGGGAGGAGTGTGTGTTGACCTAACTCACATGAATGAAATTCTGTCTGTTAACCCAGAAGACTTTGACTGTACTGTACAATCAGGAGTGACTAGAATGCAGTTAAACAATTACCTCAGAGACACTGGCTTATGGTTTCCTATTGGTAAATACAAAAAAACTGTCTAAACCAGATTGGCCCCAAAGTCCATTCAAATCAACATCAATATTTGTTTTCAATCAGTACAAACTGAACACCAGTCTAAATTGTCTAAACTGAACAGATTCTTCAGTGATTAAGGAGTCTGATTTTTAAAGGTTTCACTGTAATAGTCAATTCAATTCAGTATTTTTCTATTCTCCGTTATTTTGAACTGAAAAAAAAACAATAGTTTGAATTTGTTTGACTTAAAGTTCCAACTTTTAAGTTTCAATGATAAAATTAGAGGTCAACTTTGTACAAAATAAATACTTCTAAGTTTTTGCAACTACTCAGTAAATTTCATTTGGTAACAATGACAACTTGACCCATTAACTTTAGTTTGGCAGTTAGTGTGCATAATTTTGGGAAAGAAGGGATATGATAAGCATATATCTGAATTAATGGAAAGTTATGTAGTTATAATGATGATACATTGTAATAATAGTAATACAATGTAATAATAATAATACATTGTAATAATAAAAATACATTGTAATAATGAAACATTGTAAGGATAGTATTTGTCAGCTACTGACTGTTTACAGATCCTGGAGCTGATGCATCCCTGTGTGGAATGTGTTCCACCAGTGCATCAGGAACAAATGCTGTCAGATATGGTACAATGAGAGAAAACGTTCTAAATTTAGAAGTAGTTTTGGCTGATGGGCGTATCATAAATACTGCTGGGAAAGGAAGAAGGACAAAGTTAGTGTTTACAGATGCCTAAACCTGTAATTCATATAGTCTAGTGGCTGGAGAATCTAAGGCATGAAGGAATTGGCATTCTATAATTTAGATTTGCTATGAAATGTTTTCCTAGACAAGTAATCTATTTCCCCTAAACTGGTATCCACCAAAAAAAAAATCCTCAGTATATGCCAGGGTATGTCAGACTATAGTTAAACACTGAAAATAAACTCAGAATTGTTAAACTTTTTTCTTTTTACTTAAAGCATTCACCATTTGTTAATATTTTAATTCGAAGAAAATAAAAAGTGTGTATTGCACAGACAGTTTTTTACCATTATTTGTTGGAGAATCACTATCCCATCACTCTAAAATTCAAATAGAGGAGATATACGAAATTAATTATTGTAATCATTGGCTTTTATATAAAAAAAAAATACCCTTCATAATAGATCTGACATTACAATTTACATAATATTCTGTTATATCTTTCTACACCCCATATAAACAAATACAAATTTTTAAGGGCAAAAATAATTTGTAAAGCCTTTTTAAGTAGTAAGCAGTCTCCAGATATTTCTTACACACTTCTTCTATAGCTGGTTTAGAACTGTGTTGTCCAAACTAAAGCAGGCATTTACCATATAGTCATAGTTGTGTTTTGATATTGATCATTGTGATTACATTAATTTTATTTTTCTTAACTGTATTTTGACATGACCATTTACCACTTTGATATTATGTATGTCAGTTGTTTTAACTTAAGGAAATGCCACTTACTGCATAGAACATTTTAAACGCTCATTAGAATATAAAGGTTACATTATCAGTGAAATACAACTCATCAATACCTCTTTTAACAACTCAGCTAAATACAAAAAGTCAAACTTTTGCCCCTTAACTATGAATAAAAGGAGATTTGAGGTAAACATCAATGACAGCAACTCAACATATAAAAGCAAAAGACATCTCGAGGTCAACATACAGTTCAGAACTGTGTCCAGGATGTCTCTCATGATGTTATTTTGGGTCATGACACTCTGAATTTAATAGTCAAACTTAAATCTGAATATCAACTTTATTAGTCTTAAAAAGTTTTGGGTTTTTTTGGAATGGGCTTTAAACTTGCTGACTACGTATGTGCAGTTTGCTATAGTATGCAATTCTTTTCATTCCAGGAAAACTTCTGCTGGATACAATCTTACAAACTTATTTGTAGGATCAGAAGGGACATTGGGTATAATAACAAAGGCTTCATTGCGACTTTTTGGCATACCAGAAGCAGTAAGTACAACTACTTATAAATATCTTATCCTCTTAGTCTGTATTGAGGGTTTTGTATATTTATTTTCCCTTCAAACCTCCCTGTCTGTCTCTGAACCTTGTAAGCAAAAACTTCATCAGGCCATTCATTAGGAGGCGGTAATCGGTACTTTTACTTGTCTTTACTACTGATAAATACCGCCTGATTTAGGAATTTTTACATAAGGTATTCATGGAATATATTGAAAAGTACCTTCATACTGTTGTAGAACACTACCTGAGAATGTGTGCACAACACGTATAGAGGAGATAATCATATTAACTTACTTCAGTATACCAATACTATTGTGGGTTGAGATAGCATTTTGTGAGTTAAGTTAAAGTTCTAGTTTCATTTCATTTACTTTCTAACAAAGAAGAATGACAAAAAGTGGCTTAGTGCACTAAACAGTCCTAAGATGTTGATAGAAGTCTCCTCATATTTTTCAACAATTTTGAAATTTTTGCAGTAGACCAAGGGGAAATTAATTATCTTGAGGGTGGGGAAGAAAAGTTATTGACCTATAAAGTTAACAAAATTTTGACAAATTGTGTTATCCGCCCCTTATGGCGCTACATATATGGTGAATACATAGACTTTTTACATGTCCAACTCCTAATGTTGCCTTGGTGCCCCCCTTTTTATTAAATTCTGGATCTGAATCTCATCTGGACTCCACACATTATTATTAGAAGATTAATATGATGAATCTACAGACTGGGGAGATAAGTTATCAACTCATGTGTTTCACATACCTGTTTATTTGGGAAATGTATTTATTTCAGACTGTGTCAGCCGTTTGTCATTTCCCAGATGTACAGGGTGCTGTAGATACAACTGTTCAGGTATTGCAGTGTGGTATCCCTATTGCCAGGATAGGTAAATTTTATCTATCTTTGAAACAATCTGATATATTATTATTATTATAAAATATTTCTGAATTATAACATATTGATCTTTGCAAGAATTGTATTCTCTGCACTCAACAAGACACATTTTTTTACTTTTGAAAACTGATAAAACATTTTACTATAAATCGACTACCAGTATCTATTGCAAGTGTTTATTCAGTGAATAACGCAAGTAGATATATAATGTGAATATGTCATTCTTTGACCTTCTCTTATATGAATTCATCATGAAGTTGACTAGATCAGGCTACCAGAAGGGGACAGAAAGCATCTGCTAAAACAAATTTGTTTACAGCATTTACCTTATCAAATGAGCATACCTTTATAAAATGCTACCTTCTGGACAATATCAAATTTTTCATTAAATTTATACCATGAAAAGTTATAGATAACAAGAAAGCCATTGTTTTGATAATAAAAAAAACAAAATTATTAATTTCTTTAGCTTTTAGTCACACTTAAAGACCAAAAGAATTTACAAAATAAAACAGAATCATTGTTTTGAATAATTTATTTTTTCAGAGTTTTTAGATGAGGTATCAATAGATGCAGTAAACAAGTATAGTAAAATGGACATGAAAGTTGCACCATCGCTATTTTTAGAATTCACTGGAACTCCTTCATCTCTGGATGAACAAGCAGCATTAGTTGGTAACTATAGAAACTAAAGGGATCAAAGAATATTTGAAAACTTATAATCAATCTTTCTCTAAGCAATTGCTGTTATGTTTTGGTGAGACTGCCATTTTCGTGAAGTAGATTCATGCGGAGGGATGCCAAACAGGTCAAATTACAAAATTTAGAATCTTCTTCTGCTATGATAAGTTTCCTATGTTTTCATGACTAATCAATTAATAACAAGTTTCGTTAAAGACAATGGTGGACTGTTGAAGTTTCTAAACACTAATTTATAGATGTATTTTGCATTTTTTTCATGTTTTTCGATTGACTTAGAATGAAGTAGAAATCCAAGAGAAAAAGTTTGTTTTTATCAGTGCCATTTTCGTTCTTTAGTACAAATCTGGCTAAAGTGCCAGATATGTCAAATAGAATTAAGAACTAAGCCCATTGAATTTGCAGACTGGTTGTATGATATTTCAAAGGAACAACTGTTTATGCCAACCGATCAAAGTATTTCATTCACTTCCAGCACTTCAAACTTGAGCGTACATCATAAGGTTCTGATTTTCGGCAAATAATGTATCACTTCATTAAAATGTGATTATAATGACCTTAAGTTAATGTTTGATCCATTTATTGCATTATAAATTTCATATTCCTATCCAACTTGAACATCAAAGATTGTTTGTTTTTTTTTATTTTCCTTTGTCCGCCATTGAAAATTTGATACAAACCACAGATTGGAGGAGAATCAAAGACCAGCTATGACCGAAATCCGTAATTTACAATATTAACCACAAACAAATGCATTGCTCAGATGATTGGAGAATTATGAGCCCATAATAAAAACATTTAAAAAACAATTAAGGAAAAGGTTTTTGAACATTTTAGAATTAATTCATAAACCTACTATCATAATAAGTTACCACTGTGTTAGTTTGAAAAGCACTTCTGACGTTATCCTTATTTATACTGGATATTCCTGAATCATAAATGTGTATCAAACTTGGTAATTTTGTCATATTTTGACGAAAAAACAAAATTTATACATCTTTTGTTCTTATTTTCTCTGTGGATAACCATTATATTTGAAAAAAAATATATATCAAAAGGGAAAGAATTATAACTGACATAAAAAAAAAACTATTTTCTTCCAGCTGATTTATGCAGCATGAATAATGGTTCAGATTTCAAATGGGCTAAAGATCCAGAAGAAAGAAGTCATTTATGGAAAGCTAGACATGACATTTTATATGCATGTATGGCTCTAAAACCTGGCAGTAAGGTGTGTGATAAGTTAAGGCATGACAGGCTTGTTTTTTTTGTTGAAAAACTTAATATCATAGCTTTATGAGACCACATTTGCAGTTTGTTGCCGATTATAAAATTTTCCCATTATCTTAATACCAAAAACAAACATTTTTTTGTGTCTATAATTCACTTTTATTTTTTAATTTTCATTATAGCAAAGTTAGATTTCAAGGCTACATGAATAGTTTTCATAAAAAAATCATACACCTCTAGAGTCAGAAAAATATAATTATGTGTAAGTTAACAAATAAAAAGAAACTTCCAATTCTTTTTGTACTTTTATAAAATTATGGATAATTGTAAGAAAAACATTTTGAAGTTGCTATCAAGATCATTATTGCAATATAAAAAAGAAGATGTAGTATGATTGCCAATGAGACAACTCTCCACAAGAGACCAAATGACACAGAAATTAACAGCTATAGGTCACCGTACAGCCTTCAACAATGAGCAAAGCCAATACCGCACAGTCAGCTTTAAAAGGTCCCAAAATGACAATGTAATGCAATGCAATGTCCATCTGAGAACTTCTTTATAAACATTATTTTCAGCCATATTCCACCGATGTTTGTGTTCCTGTCTCTAAGTTACCAGAAATAATTAAAAGATCTAAGGAAGAAATTACCAAGGCAGGAGTGTGTGGTAAGTTATCAAAGTTCATCTCATAATGGCAAGAACTCAAAGTTACCAGAAATAATTAAAAGATCTAAGGAAGAAATTACCAAGGCAGGAGTTTGTGGTAAGTTATCAAAGTTCATCTCATTATGGCAAGAACTCTAAGTTACCAGAAATAATTAAAAGATCTAAGGAAGAAATTACCAAGGCAGGAGTTTGTGGTAAGTTATCAAAGTTCATCTCATTATGGCAAGAACTCTAAGTTACCAGAAATAATTAAAAGATCTAAGGAAGAAATTACCAAGGCAGGAGTTTGTGGTAAGTTATCAAAGTTCATCTCATTATGGCAAGAACTCTAAGTTACCAGAAATAATTAAAAGATCTAAGGAAGAAATTACCAAGGCAGGAGTTTGTGGTAAGTTATCAAAGTTCATCTCATTATGGCAAGAACTCTTAAGTTACCAGAAATAATTAAAAGATCTAAGGAAGAAATTACCAAGGCAGGAGTTTGTGGTAAGTTATCAAAGTTCATCTCATTATGGCAAGAACTCTTAAGTTACCAGAAATAATTAAAAGATCTAAGGAAGAAATTACCAAGGCAGGAGTTTGTGGTAAGTTATCAAAGTTCATCTCATTATGGCAAGAACTCTAAGTTACCAGAAATAATTAAAAGATCTAAGGAAGAAATTACCAAGGCAGGAGTTTGTGGTAAGTTATCAAAGTTCATCTCATTATGGCAAGAACTCTTAAGTTACCAGAAATAATTAAAAGATCTAAGGAAGAAATTACCAAGGCAGGAGTTTGTGGTAAGTTATCAAAGTTCATCTCATATCAAAGAATTAATATGGCAAGAAATATAACTTCCAATGAGGCCATATTGGCATCTCTTGTAGGTATGACTTTCTCCCAACATCATATTGAAATCTTTAATTGACCTTTAAGGTGAAAAACAAAAGTAAGATCTGTTTTGTAGGATTATATAACACACAAATAAAAGCTTGTAGGATTCTATATGGAACCTTTTTATTATTTACTTTGCTCTGTTTAATTATTCGCTGAAAAAAGAATTCTTTCTTTCCACAATTAATTTATTTTCTTCATCACTAAATAATATATTTATTTTTGTCCCTGTTAACAGAGAGATTTAATTACTATTACATAGAAATTATCTACTTCTCTGATATGGATCAATCAAATTATAATCATTTACTTTTTAATAGGAAGCTGTTTCAATATTATAATGGCAATATTGAATGTTTTTTTTCCCCATATCAATATGAATAAAAAGAAATGTGAGATATACGTCAATGAGACAGCAATCTAACAACAAAATTAACAAGAAGACATCTACAGGGCAACATACAGTCCTCAATGATAAACAGGTGTCTAAAACAATATCCCAAGCTCTAAATTGTCCTGAGTCTATACAAGTTAATAATGAAATTAAAAGACATAGTCAAAGATCTGCTATTAACATGATTTAAGCCGAATTATTCAAAAACAAAAAGCACTTAGATAATAAAACTCAACAAATGACCATTAAGATTTACATTCCATCTGCAGATGGTTAGAGCAGAAACTGTTACAATTAGTTATAAACTATCACATTTACCTGGAAGATATGGTCAAGTCTTGACATTATGAATTATATTTTCTATAGGACCTATAGTTGGCCATGTTGGGGATGGAAATTTCCATGTTTTCTTTCCTGTGGATCAAAATAACCCTGAAGAATTACAAAAGATCCAAGAAGTTTCAAAGAAAATGGCTTTGTAAGTTGTTTATTTTGTAGATTCCTTCATGTTGGGTCATGTGGGTGATGGGAATTTCCACACACTGTTTTTGGCAGATCCAAATAATCCAAAAGAAGTACAAATAGTTAAAGATGTATCTAATAAAATTGCTGAGTAAGTTCATTTATTACTTTCCTTTCTACTAACACATAAAAGATCAAAATAATTAATCGTCATTATCTCCCATCTTTAACTTAGTCTTATCAAAAAACATATAGTATATATTATTTGTTATGCTAACGACGTTCATAAAAAACTCCCTTATCATCATACTACCCACTTTCTCTTTTCCAACATATCTTTTACTTTCCTCACCAAAGCATACCTGCATGTCCACATGTATTCTCCATTTTGAATATATATTCAGAATCAAAATAAAAACACTTTTTTGATAAATAACTTATATGTTGTATATATTATTTTGACTATCCATATGCATTCTGTAACTCTTTTAACATTTTTAGAGAATTTTGATTATCTAATGGAATTATATGCACTTCTTATTTTCCATCTTTTATCCAAGTGATTTTTAGGGATTTCCCATATAAAAACATGGACTTTGTCATATTTATGAGGGAAAGGCGAAGAATTTTTGAGATATTCTTAGTTTTTTAGTCTTATAAATACTGAAATTAGTTTGTTTTTTTACAATACTTGCCAATAAAGTAAAAAAGCATTATTTGTATTGCTGATACATTTACTTCTCAGGATGTCTTTGGAGATGAATGGAACCTGCACAGGAGAGCATGGCATAGGACAGGGAAAGAGAGAGTTACTGGTACAAGAGATAGGAGAAACTGGTATCCAGGTGATGCAACAGATAAAACAAACATTAGATCCCAAGGGTATCATGAACCCAGCAAAAGTTTTCTTTTAAACACATGGGAACCTTTGATTGATCAATTTCAAAAAAGTTTATGTGATTCAATGTAAACCCTTTGTAGAGTATGATGGCTGTATTATATACTATTAGAATTTTGGTTTCTATGATCAGAATCTCTGATGTAAAAATCAGCAAATGTTAATCAGAAGTAATTTTTTGGATGAAAAATGAAATGGCTGATTGTTGTAGCTTAGTTTTATATTATTATTTGGAAGAGTTATTCAAATTAATTAATAAGTGAATGTATAAGTATAAGTACAGTTTTGACTCATATAAGTGTACTCTTGTAACTGATGAATCTTCCTTTTAACAAGCTACTAAGTGATGCATAGCTTCCCTGTACCCACAAGACTCTTGAAAAATACAAAATAAAAGGGCTTTTCTCTACAAAATTGATAGAGAAGACTGATTTTAAATATTATTCCTAAGTTGAATAGATATGCATTTCGAATAAATATCTAAACAATACTTCCTTAAAACAATTGAACATTTTTATGACAAATATAGAAACCCTGCTGGTCAGGTCTTATCTTGGTTAAAGTTTAGTGCTAAATCTCATTGAGGCCAAAAGTAAAACTTACTAATTTTCATCCAAATGAGTCTACACTGGACCAAATGAAAGGGATTATTGTTTTACTCTCCTTTTATATGACTTTTTCAATAAGGGTTCACTATTTTAAAAAGTTCCAGTTCAAAGTGCACTAATATTTTTTTTTGTTTAAAACATGTAATTTGTAAATAGTAATATCTGAAATCAGAAAAGTTCTGAAAATTGTCTGAAATGTTCTGTATGCAGATTCTTCAAATTCATGATTGATCAACTTTCAATAAAAATGTATTGGTTTGAATTTTCTTACAACCATCAAAAAAGGAATTGTTATGGTATACCCTTGTCCAGCATTTTAGTGTTTGGTTTGTAAAAGTAAGCTCCCTTCCATTATGGTAAATTTTTGCATTCAGTTCCATTTTGAACAGATAGGGGTATTTGTGAAAAATCAAGGGGCGGTGAAATTTCCCAAGCCGCTAGGCAAGGGAAATTTGGTCCCAAGACTGGTATTTTTCGCAAATAACCCTCCATAACATGATATATCTGTTTAATTACACCGAATAGATTTTGTTTGAAACTGTCTGTACATGTGAAGGGAAATCGTAGTACCGCGGGAATTATACATGTACTTATATGCGTTAGTGCTGTCTTTTTGTAACGTCATGGTATCTATATGTGTTAATGTCATTGTTATTCCATCATTAAATCATTCATTTGTATAGACATTTTTTTCCCCTCTTTATATGTATATTTCTGACAGTTTTCGGTTTAACTCAATCAATAGTGCTTAGCCATGTTGTCGGGATAAAGTGAATAAGGTTCCGAATAATTTTGGCGTGAACAGGCTCGCGAGGGTAAAAAAAAGGAATATCCAAAATGGCAAATACCACGACAGAGAGGGAAATTTGAGGCAAATTTACCGGCAGTGGTGAAAAAACAGGCAAATTCGTTTGAAATGAGGAAAAAATGTTAGAATATGGGAAAAATACACTGGCTAACAACCAATCAAAATCCGGCATTCTTATATAAGGTGTAATTATTCAGAAAATTTTGGTAAAGGTCAATGGTATTTTACAAATATGGCCTTCTTTCAAATAACAAAGCAGGTCAACAAACTTTGTCACTATCATTATGACATATTTTATACTCTAGTAATTTTGATTAAGTTTTGTTTCGTAGGTCCATTTCTTCGGAAACTTATGGCAATATGTTATATTTCACCTCCATTCACATGTTATACGACACTGTTGATTCATATTATTTTTGTGCGATACAGTTCATGAATGAGTGACCTTTTAATGTTTTTCATTCAGATCCATATCTCAGAAATAAAACAATTGTAATATATCAGTGATAAAGAAGTTCTCATGTCAAAAACAAATTTATTCATGTATGTGTATTTCTTATCATATTTTTTAAAAAAACAAGTATTTTCCTTTTTTAAAATTTTTTAAAAATGTCTTTCATTATATGTATTGTATGATTTTATTTATGACATGCAAAACTATGGAATGTTTTTAAGATCATTATATATTTATATTACATATATTTTATAAAAGTAGAAACTGCAGAAACATTTCTTATACATTACTATGTTCTATTCATGTACTTCTTTGTATTTACACATATTTTAATGATTTCCAATTAAAATTAACCTGTCAAAATAGTAAGTGAATGAATTGTATGCATTAAAATTGAGGTCTTTAGGACCAGTGCTGAATTTTTTCTTCCATTTGAAAAAATGAACTTTTCCTAACCTGTTTGTTGACTGCGCGAGTACTTAAGTCCTTATGTTTTAAGAAATTTACATCCATAGTTATTTCCCTTGAGTGTAAATTCAGTTTAGTGAATTGATTTATGTTGAAGAATGGTTACATTTGTCCTTAATATCCTTATGCATTACATTTGTTTAGCACAGAACAAAAAAAAATGAAGTTTGAAAAAGTAAAGGATACCATTATAACTATGCCATGAATAGATTGCCTGTTTGAACGTCAAATTTATATCTGCAATATTCATTTTATTTCGTTTATTTCGTGGATAGATAGTATCCAAGACATTTAAACCCAAACTAAATTGTAACCTACAAAAAATATTATTATTTTTACATACTGGAAACCACAAAAATAAATCCTCATGAAATGAAAATTAGATACACAACCTGGAACTTTTAATTCCATGAAAAATTAATGTTTCTACAGTAGTATTTAATATGTTAATCCTGAGAATTTTGATCAATCTTTTGTTAAGTATCAATTGTTTGTTGTTATCATGTAAATTATTTTTATACGTCGCAAACAAATTTTGCGATCGTATATTGGTATGACGTAGGCATCGTCGTCGTCGTAGTCGTTGTCGTCGTCCGAAGACACATTGGTTTTTCGCACTCTAACTTTAGTCTAAGTGAATGGATCTCTATGAAATTTTACCATAAGGTTCAATACCACAAAAGGAAGGTTGGGATTGATTTTGGGGGATATGGTACCAACAGTTAAGGAATTAGGGGCCAAAAATAAGCATTTTTGTAACTTCCAGACATAAATTGTGTGTTAGTGTATGGATCTCTCTGACATTGTACCACAAGGTTCCATATCACAAAGGGAATGCTGGGATTGATTTTGGGGGTAATTGCCTCAAAATTTTAGGAATTAGGGGCAAAAAAAGGGGCAAAAAACAAGCATTTTTATATGGACAAATACTTTAGTACAAAACATAATTTAAAGCAGTGTAAGGGAGATAAATCAAATACATCATTTGAATTACCTCCCTTACACTGCTTTTAAATAATGTATAAAGTAATGGTTAATGAACAATTAAGACAATTTAAAACAGTGTAAGGGAGGTAATCCACATACAACGTTTTGATTACTTCCCTTACACTGCTTTTAAATTATGTTTAAAGAAATGCATATTTATAAAGGAAGACCAGTAAAAATATCTGCAAATGTTGCATCTTTTTTTTTTTACAAAAAAATCCATATGAAAGATTTGACACCATATTTTAAATTCTATTATAAAATAGATTAAGTTAGCACTATGGTAAATTTAAATGGATAATTATGGTTGCAAATTCCATTGGAAATTTGAATTGAGATTATGACCATATCTTGAGGGAAAGAATTTTTTTGGGGAAAAAGGGGGGGGGGGGGTAAAAAGAAATTGTGGGGGTCAATTTTTTCTCATTTCAGATTTCAGAAATTAAAAAGAATTATTCTTCAAATATTTTTTTTTTTTCAAATTTCAAATATTGAAAAATTTCAAGAAGTAATCTTTAATTGCACAGTATGGCGCATTAGATTTGTAAAATCTTTGACCACATTTATTTATTTGTTATGCCAAATCTAACCGTGTATTTAGATTTTTAATTTTGGGTCCAGTTTTCAAATTGGTCTACATTAAGGTCCAAAGGGTCCAAAATTAAACTTAGTTTGATTTTAACAAAAATTGAATATATGGGGTTCTTTGATATGCTGAATCTAAACATGTATTTAGATTTTTGATTTTGGGCCCAGTTTTCAAGCTGGTCCAAATTGGGGTCCAAAATTAAACTTTGTTGGATTTCAACAAAAATTGAATATATGGGGTTCTTTGATATGCTGAATATAACCATGTATTTAGATTTTTTATTTGTGGGCCCCGCTATCAAATTGGTTCATATTGAGGTCAAAAGGGTCCAAAATTAAACTTTGTTTGATTTCATCAAAAATTGAATTATTGGGGTTCTTTGATATGCCAAATCTAACCGTGTATTTAGATTTTTAATTTTGGGTCCCGTTTTTTTAATTGGTCTACATAAAGGTCCAAAGGGTCCAAAATTAAACTTAGTTTGATTTTAACAAAAATTGAATTCTTGGGGTTCTTTGATATGCTGAATCTAAACATGTGTTTAGATTTTTGATTATGGGCCCAGTTTTCAAGTTGGTCCAAGTTGGGGTTCAAAATTAAACTTTGTTTGATTTCAACAAAAATTGAATATATGGGGTTCTTTGATATGCTGAATCTAACCATGTATTTTGATTTTTGGGCCCCGTTATCAAACTGGTCCACATTGAGGTCAAAAGGGTCCAAAATTAAACTTTGTTTGATTTCATCAAAAATTGAATACTTTGGATTCTTTGATATGCTGAATCTAACCATGTATTTAGATTTTGGATATTGGACCATAACAGGTAAATTAAAAAAATTTAAGTTCTTAGACCACATTCATTCTGTGTCAGAAACCTTTGCTGTGTCAAATATTTAATCACAATCCAAATTCAGAGCTGTATCAAGCTTGAATGTTGTATCCATACTTGCCCCAACTGTTCAGGGTTCGACATCTGTGGTCGTATCAAGCTGCGCAGCGGAGCATTTTATTTGTTACACATTTATTTCCAATGAGGATTGTTAACCAACTGTTTTTGAAGTCATAAAACATAAGTTGCTGAAAAAAATTATATGCTGTTGATTTTAATAAAATTTATTATGAATTGTTTAAAGATACTCTTATATTGGCTTTGTTTGGAGCTCTCTGTTTGTTGTAACAGTGTTAGCAAGGTGACTTTTTGTTGTCACTTAGCAAATTCAATCGTCTCATAAAATCTGCATTGGTATAACACTCACTCACTATGAATATCCAGTTAGTCATTAATGATCGTTTTGACAATCCTATTAATAGTTCTCATATAGAACATTGGAATACAGTACTAAAGATCTCTTTAGCTCACAATATTTAGGTGTCACTGTCTTAAATTCGAAAGTTTTCTTTCAAAACCCATTGTCTCCTCCAACAAGACTATTTCTCTTGTGCCAAATGACTTCATTTGCTAATTTTTTAGCTGTTATATAGTTGTTGGAGGGTTTATGTAGCCAGGTAAGCAGTTATATCTATACACACTGAAATATAGTTCCCAATAATTTTAATGTCTGTTTACATAAAAATAATGATTTAATGAACTGTGAAAATTTGGGGTATATCTTTAGCGCAGTTCATATTCAAATATGTATGTCTAGTTTTCTCAATTTTCTTACTAGTTTGATAATTTTTAAAAGGTAAGAATACTGATACAACATGGTTGAAAACTGCCTTGATTAACAAACAATCAGAGACAAGATGGAGCCTTAACTGGAATGTCCCATCATCTTAAAGCCAATGCTATTGACCAAATAACCTAACTTTAGTATAACATAATTAAACCAAGACCCTTTATTACACAACTCAATGCACGAATCTTATTTCTTGTTAGATGTTTGGTATTTTTTTTAAATGATATATTTAATAATTTACCTATTACTTTTGATATACACCACATTGAATGCTTCTGTAAATTAAGTCTGAAAATGAAGATTAAGGATTAACCAGATTTTTTTTCAATCGAAAAGACAAAATTTTATAAATTTGCATATATAAAGATTTTCAAGTGGGTCTACATTTTGCTTGCACAATCAGTGCAGTAATAATTTGTAATTAGTCCCCTACCCACGAAGTCGAAGGGGACTCTAGGTTTGCACTCTGTCCGTCTGTCTGTCTGTCTGAGTCTGGCAAATCAGTTTTCCACATTTTTTTCTTCCTGCTTGAAGATATTGATTCGATATTTGTTGTTTAATTTCATCATGACAAGTTACAGATCAAGTTCGAATTTTGTTCCGTTCTGATGATTTTGTCCAGAGTTATGGTCCATGCATATGGTCACCCAAATAATCTGTTTTCCACCCTTTTTTTTGGTCATGCTTGAAGATATTGATTTGATAACTGGTATGTAGTTTACATCATGACAAGTTATAGATCAAGTATAGCATTTTGTTCCACTATAATGAAATTTTAACCGGTAGGGGACTATGTATTGCCATGCAATACTTTCAGAATGCTTGTTAATCAATGATTTAAGTTAAAACTATCAGTCATTGCTTATAACAATAAATAAAATTTCAAAACTGTTAACCTGAGCAAACTAATGCAATGTTTGCGTTTATTCCCATTATATTGCTTTTCACAATATGAGATATTTGAATATATAGGAAGTCTTATAAAATTATATAGAATAAAAACTGTGTAGTAAAAAGTAAAATCACAAAAATACTGAACTCTGAGGAAAATTCAAAAGTGTAGAAAATGGTGTATTAAACCTGGTTTTAAAGCTATCAAAACCTATCACTTGTATGACAGTCGCATCAAATTCCATTAAATTGACTACGATGTGTGAAAAAAACAAACACAATAGGTAAAAATGTCACAAATAGGGGTACAACAGCAACACAAACCCCACCAAAAACTGGGGTTGATCTCAGGGGCTCTGGAAGGGTAAGCAGATCCTGCTTAAGTAAGGTTATGGAAATGTATATGGTTTAGTAAGGTTATGGTAATATAAATTACCCTATGTTCTCTACAACTATTCATCTCCAATGTCATGATTTCAAAATCATAAGCAATCCTTAGAGAAGAAAATAGTTTACATATGTTTGAAGCTATACATGCCGAAAAAGAGAATCTGTACAGGTAAATTTTGGGAGAAAAGATCTTAGTGTCAAAAAAAGTAAAATCACAAAAATACTGAACTCCAAGGAAAATTCAAAAAGGAAAAGCCCTAATCAAATGGCAAAATCAAAAGCTCAAACACATCAAATGAATGAATAACAACTGTCATATTCCTGACTTGATACAGGCATTTCCTTATGTAGAAAATGGTGGATTAAACCTGGTTTTAAAGCTAGCTAAACCTCTCACTTGTATGACAGTCGCATCAAAGTCTCTTTATTTATTGGTCCAATATAAAAAAGAAGATGTGGTATGATTGCCAATGAGACAACTCTCCACAAGAGACCAACTGACACAGAATTTAACAATTATAGGTCACTGTACGGCCTTCAACAATGAGCAAAGCCCATACCGCACAGTCAGCTATGAAAGGCCCCAAAATGACAATGTAAAACAATTCAAACGAGAAAACTAACGGCCTAATTTATGCACAAAAAATGAACGAAAAACAAATATGTAACACATAAACAAACGACAACCACTGAATTACAGGCTCCTGACTTGGGACAGGCACATACATACAGAATGTGGCGGGGTTAAACATGTTAGCGGGATCCCAACCCTCCCCCTAATCCTGGGTCAGTGGTGCAATAAAACACTACAACAAATGTACAAAACAATAAACAAAATACGCATATGATCAACAGCAGCAACAACTCAATTATAGGCTCCTGACTTGGGACAGGCATATATAGAATGTGGCGGGGTTAAACATGTTAGCGGGATCCCAACACTCGATCTAACCTGGGACAGTGGTGTAACAGTACAACATAAGAACGAACTATAACAAGAGGCTGTCAGAGTGACAGCAAACCAGATTTTCCTGCAGAGGTCGAACCCTGAACAATTGAGAAAGTATAGACACTACATTTAAGCTTAAAACAGCTCTGAACTTTGATTGTGATTGAATATTTGACACAGCATAGGTTTGTGACACAAAATGAATGTGGTTTAAGAACTGAAATACTTGAAATTGGACATTTAAATACCTATTATGGTCCAATATCAAAAACCTAAGTACATATTAGAATCAGCATATCAAAGAACCCCAAGAATTCAATTTTTGATGAAATCAGACAAAAGTTTAATTTAATACCCTTTGGACCTCAATGTGGACCAATTTGATAAAGGAGCCCACAATCCAAAATCTCTCAATACATGGTTAGATTCAGCATTTCAAAGAACCCCATAAATAATTTTTTTGTTGAATCAAACAAAGTTTAATTTTGGACCAACTTGAAAACTGGGCCCAAAAATCTAATATTTAAATACAGGTTTAGATTCAGCTTTTGAAAGAACCCTATATATATTTAATTTATGCTGAAATGAAATACAGGTTAATTTTATCCATAATATTTTCTGTGCAAAGGGAAATAACTCAAACTGGATTAATAGTTCTCTAAAATAAGATATGATGCAATTTTTCAAATTATAATCAATAATATAATAACAACAACCAGTGATGACTAAGTTCTCTAAAATTAGATATGATTTAACACTCAAACATTGCTAGAATCAGCATATCAAAGAACCAAAGAATTCAATTTTTGATGAAATTAATCAAAAGTGTAATTTAGGACCCTTTGGACCTCAATGTGGTATTATCTTATCAATAATGAAAAGAAATACAGGTTTAGATTAAGCATTTCAAAGAACCCTATATATATTCAATTTATGTTGAAATCAAACACAGTTTAATTTTGGACCCCAATTTGGACCAACTTGAAAACTGGGCCCAAAATCAGAAATCTAAATATATGTTTATTAATAGACAATATAAGCTTAGTTTTTAAAGGAGTTTACTTCATCAAAATTTTTTTTTTTATAGCATTCAGAAATTAGTTTTTACAGAATAACAAATAAACTTGCCACAAAATTCTACAAACAATTTACCAAAGAAAAGAAGAAAAAAAATCCAAAATTTTATTTACCATTAATACAATGTCATTTCAAAATCTATAAAACTTATCAGTAACAAGAGGTAATTGTAACAGAATGCTGTTACGAAGTCTCCCAAACAAAGCTCCAATAATTCGTCATTCCCATTGTCGCTTGACATTGGGCAATGTCCAGTACAAATTGGTTTATGATATGCATTAGTGACGCCTATGGATTGACCCTGTAAGTCATTCAAATCTTCTTGAAATTACGAACAGGAATTTATATGGTTTAGGGGTGGAGATCTTGACTGTTTACAAGTTCTCAAAAGGGGGGGGGGGGGGGTGATCCCCTGGGGACTCTCCCTTTGTTTCATATGATTTGTTTTTTTTGTCCTGTACAAGAATATATATGGTTTAGGGGTAAGGATCTTGACCGTTTACAAGTTCTTAAATAGGAGGGGTTGGGGGTGACCCCAGGGGACTCGCCTTATATTTTATTTGATTTGTTTTATGGTCCCATACAAGAATATATATGGTTTCCGCATGGGGATCTTGACGGTTTACAAGTTTTCAAAAAGGGGGTGGGGGTTATCCCAGAATATTTCCACTTAATTTCATTTGATTTGTTTTATTGTTTCATTCAAGAATATATATAGTTTAGGGGTGGGGATCTAGACCGTTTACAAGTTATCAAAAAGAAGGGGGCTGGGGCTGACCCCCATGGACTTCCCCTATATTTCATTTGATTTGTTTTATTGCATACAAGAATATATATGGTTTAGGGGTGGGGATCTCGACCGTTTACAAGTTCTCAAACAGGAGGGGGTGGGGGTGACCCCAGGGGACTCGCCTTTTATTTTTTATTTGATTTGTTTTATTGTCCCATACAAGAATATATATGGTGTCGGGTTGGAGATTTTAACCGTTTACAAGTTTTAAAAAAAAGGTGGTGGGGGTTACCCCAGGGGACTCCCCCTCTATTTCATTTGATTTGCTTTATTGTCCCATTCAAGAATATATATGGTTTAGGGTGGGGATCTCGACTGTTTAAAAGTTATCAAAAAGAAGGGGGTGGGGGTGATCC